GGCCGGAGCGCTCTTTCGGGTGCACGTGGGCTCGGCCTGTGCGGCGCTGGTTTTCGTTAGGGTTCTCGAACCTTCGAACGGCCTGCCGAGGTCTGTGATGTCTCTCGACTGCGTCACTCACTCCAGGCCAGTTTCGAGCGGATGGTGGTTGCATTCGCGTTGGATTCGTGGGTTAAAGACGCTTACAACCAGGAACAAGGAAATGCCGGGCTGTTTTGAGCCTCAAAACCCAAGGGCTGTGTGTGTGGCCTTGGGGCTCGGCCTCCTGAATTCGGGGTGTTGTGTGTTGTAGGCGACGGCAAAAGCGAGCAGAAAGGCGGAGACAAAAAGCGAGGAGTGAAGCGCCCGCGGGAAGACCACGGCCGTGGCTACTTTGAGTACATTGAGGAGAACAAGTACAGCAGGTAGAGGACCCCCCCCCCCACCCCGGGCCGGCCCGCCGCCCGCTCCCCTCGTGTCCTGGGGGGAAAGGCTGTACCGGAGGCCCTGTTGTCTTTCAGAGCCAAGTCCCCGCAGCCGCCCGTGGAGGAGGAAGATGAGCACTTCGATGACACGGTGGTTTGTCTTGACACTTGTAAGTGAAGCTGCGGCGCCCCCTCCCCCAATTTTCAAATGTGGTTTCGGTTTGAAATGTTAGGAAACAGTAGTACATTGAGCTTAAGTGCAGAAAATTTAACGGGGAAATGGAAACAGGTTTTTAAAGGCAGGAAGATTATCCGGTAGCTTAAATATTTGGTATAACATCCGCTGTATTGATAATTACACAGGCTCTAGCAACTTGGTAATCCTTTTATATTACTTGAAAGTTCTTTGTAGGAATGTAAAGTTAATGCCAACTTTTGACTAGCTAACTAATGGGAACTTGTAAGGCTTCCTCAATAAAGTAATTTCATCTTTTTTGGACTCACCTTACGTGAGCTATTTGGATTAGTTACATATTTATTAATGGCTTTTCCCATTAGCACACAAGTGTATTCCCTATTCTAAAAGATTGTAATATTACTTTCTCAATAACTGCTCTTTTGTTCTCAATTCCAGTTCAGTAGCTGCTGCTTTAACATAAGTTGATTTCTTCCAAAGACCTGGGGCAGCAGCAGTGGCCTATCACTGGGCCACTAGCTCTCTTCACCAGCGAATGGTATCAATGGCAGCGCTGTAAATACTGCTACTTTACCCAGTAGGGTTGCAGTTGAGTAGGAGGAAGTATTAGTATTGCAAACCTCTCAATGGCCATGGCTGTTAGAGTTGTAATTTTTATTTACGAAGAGATTTGTTGATTTAGTATTTGATCAGTTCTTAGCAGTTCTTTCAGTGATAGAACAAAGGGTAGAAATAATTGCTTGAAAAATAAGAGGTAAGGTGTCAATCTGCCCTGTAGAGCCTGGGGAGTTGAAGCTTAGATTCTAGTGTTTTTGAATACAGATTGTTTTTTTATTCAGATATGTCAGAGTGTTAATATAAAACTCTTGATTTCTTGTTGAGTATCCTTTACAGGTAGTTAAGATAGTGGAGTCTTTTAAAAGAAAACTACATGGAAAAGTAGTCAGATGGATGTTTTCTAAATTCGGTTTCTTAAATATAAAGTATTAGGCATTGGCAAGATAAATGAAGCAATAATTCAAGAAGGTAACACTATTATAAAGTAGACAGACTTGTAACTGGTCACCTAGGAATATCAATTTGTTAAGTGCAATATTGGGTTCATTCTATCAATGATGGTCGGGAATTTTAAGAGCAAAGCTAATGTAAGGGGAATTCCATACTACATAGATTTAATTTTTTCTCACCAATAAAAACTTTTTAAGGAAACAGCTTTCTAACTTTAGCTCTCCCTCAGAAGTGCATGTTAATGAGCCACTGACCCATAGGTAGCGAGCTAGGTTAAAGACGGTCTGGATTTGGATAATCTCGGAAGTGGGTAACCCCCATTGTGTTGAACAGGCAAGCACAAGGAAAGGAGACCTACAGCGCTATAATAGTTACAGCATTAGACAACTGGGTTTGTGTTTGTAGATTGAGGCTGCCTTCACAAGTTTTAGAAAAGAATTTAGGATCTAGAGTCCCCGGTGTTTTAAAAATAGAAAGTACAGGATCAGCAGCTCATACAATACTTGGTCATGGCCTGTCAGTTCTGTTGTGGCACTGGTAAATTCTACCTGGTTCTGGCATGCTTCACTTTGATTTCCTGCTATCCTCTACTGCTTGCCTCTAAATCAAGGTAAAGAGCAGAGCAGGTATGTATTAATGTCACATTGTCTTATTTTATATACTTAAAATACACATTAAACCTTGGTGTTTCTTAGTTTTATAGGTAGTTTACACTTCAGTACATAATTTGGGAAGTGACTTGGTGGGAGTGGGGCTTAAAATTGAAAATTTAACAGCATGTAAAAGTGTCCTATGTAGCATTTTAAGTGTCCTATGCAGAAATTTAATAACCAAGTTTTGTCTACATAGCAAATATGTTTACATTTGATGTGAAAAGAAATAATATGGTATTGATATAATTACAGATAATTGTGATCTGCATTTTAAAATATCAAGAGATCGCCTCAGTGCTTCTTCCCTTACTATGGAGAGTTTTGCTTTTCTTTGGGCTGGAGGAAGGGCTTCTTACGGTGTGTCAAAAGGCAAAGTCTGCTTTGAGATGAAGGTAAATATAATTTGTGTTTTGTTTTTTAAGAACCTTTGTGAGTTTCCATTTACCTGGCGCTATTGGGTATCAGTAGAACTTTTTATTTTTGGAAAGTTTCTATGAATTAGAAGAGGGATAGAAACCTTTTGTAATAGTTGAACATGTTGGATCTGAATTTGTGGTACACAGCCAGCCCCTTTATTATTAAAATGCACTCTTTTTAATCAGGCACTTGAAAAGACCCACCAAGGGTTTAAAAATAATTAGACTCTTGATTTTGTTCCAGAGAAAAAATGTTAAATATATGCTTTAATTGTTGTAGGTTGAATATTGAGAATATGTAATTTTTAAACATTAACTGTTTTTTTAAATGTGATTCAACCAAGTACTTAAATCTTTTCAAGTTATAAGCCCTTATCAATTCTTTAAGTTCTTGAGTGGGTGACTTTGTATTAGCAGCCAGAGCACAGTTATCCCATGGAATGAAATAAGCCAGGTTTCAAGGGTTTATTTATCTTTTGGCTGATAGTTAAATCATTTATGATTTGACTTTCAGGTTACAGAGAAGATCCCAGTAAGGCATTTATATACAAAAGATATTGACATCCATGAAGTTCGGATTGGCTGGTCTCTAACCACCAGTGGAATGCTACTTGGTAAAGTTTCTATTTGAGTCCTTTGTACTCAGTGTTTAGGGTCTTATTTTAGTAGTTAGAGTAGAAGGCATTCCAAATATTTTGCTTGTTTTTGTCCAATTCTGTTAATATTTTAAATTAGATAACATTAGCATGTAGTAGGCATAGGCTAAATTTTAGTTTTTGTTCTTTTATGACCAATAATATTTAAGATAGAATGTTACCCACGTTATGCAATTCTTAAACTAGTTATATAACCCATTTAACTCTACATCTAGTATAAAGTCGGTGTATGTGAAAGAATATTTAGTATATGCTCATTTTTTTAAAACCTTACATCACGAATACTAAAATATATGGGCATTAAGCTGTTTTGAAAAAAATCAGCTTCATGGTAGTTTATTACTATTTTTAGGAGAAGAAGAATTTTCTTATGGGTATTCTCTAAAAGGAATAAAAACATGCAACTGTGAGACTGAAGATTATGGAGAGAAGTTTGATGAAAATGATGTGATTACATGTTTTGCTGTAAGTCATAGCCAATTTTTTTGTGTGTAAATGGCAAGTTATATGCTGGGAATTTATTTTTTTTAACTGTGTTAATATCAACATTCACTACTAACTGATAAAAGTACTTAAGTCGACCTGAAAATCTAGCCTTACCTTCTTCTAAGGCAGTATTGTTTCTGCTTTTGGATATAGATTGAACCTAAATAGTATTTCCATAGGATAACCGTCACTCATTTGAAAGTTGAAGTTTCTTAGAAGTTTTACAGGAAGCAGATTAAAACTTAATCTCTCCCCCTCACCCCCCCCATTAACAGAACTTTGAAAGTGATGAAGTAGAACTCTCCTATGCAAAGAATGGACAAGACCTTGGTGTTGCCTTCAAAATCAGTAAGGAAATTCTTGCTGATCGGCCACTCTTCCCACATGTTCTCTGCCACAACTGTGCTGTTGAATTCAATTTTGGTCAGAAGGAAAAGCCATATTTTCCCATACCTGAAGACTATACTCTGATCCAGAACGTCCCCCTGGAGGACCGAGTTAGAGGTCCAAAGGGGCCTGAAGAGAAGAAAGACTGTGAAGTAAGTGACCTTTTTAGAAAGCATTTGAGCACTGCTTTTGTTTGGGCAAAAATGACATTTAGAAGAGTTAGGTGATTGGTGTTTTTCATTTACTTTATGCCATTCCTGTAATTTTTCTCTAAGTAGCTATCTTCTCTCTTTATGTGGAGTGTTAAATTTTCCACAAATTACTTTGTTATAGTGCTATGAAAATTCAGCTATTTAAAGTGGGTTTTGTGCATTAAAATATATTTTAAATTTATTAGGTGGCTTCTGATGATTAGACAGTGAAATAACATTTCTTTCCATTGTAGGTGGTTATGATGATCGGCTTGCCAGGAGCTGGGAAAACTACCTGGGTTACTAAACATGCAGCAGAAAATCCTGGTAAATACAACATTCTTGGAACGAATACCATAATGGATAAAATGATGGTAAGTAGAATGTTTAGTGCATGATCTCAGCATTTTAAAAAGACCCGAAGGTATTCTGAGTAATCCTTCTGCCTACTGTCCTTATCCATTTGTGATAGTATTTGAGAGGGGAGTTTGGGGAAAGTGAAATTGGTTACTTAAATGTGGGCTCTTTATCTGTAAGGTAAACTGCTTTCCAAATCCTAGGCTTCATTGTCTTTTCTAAAGAATTTAAGTTCTTACCATCCAACAGCTACAAAGATGAATAGCATGGGGTCTTAGTACATGCTAGTGATCCTTTTTATTATAGCAATAGTGGGAAAAGGCAATTATTTAAATTTTTAAACTGTTGCCTGTTTTCCATATGTAGGAAAGATTTAAGCTGATGCTTAGCTTAAGATTCACAAGCTCAAAGGAAACTTCTCCCTTTTAAAAACAGGTAGCAGGCTTTAAGAAGCAAATGGCAGATACGGGAAAACTGAACACACTGTTGCAGAGAGCTCCACAGTGTCTTGGAAAGTTTATTGAGATTGCTGCTCGTAAGAAGCGAAATTTTATTCTGGATCAGGTAAGCTCTGTAGCTTTGAAGTTGAGAAAAGTAACTGAAAATTGGGTTTGTGTAGAATTAATAAACAACTTTTTGTTTGTTTTTAAGACAAATGTGTCTGCTGCTGCCCAGAGGAGAAAAATGTGCCTGTTCGCGGGCTTCCAGCGGAAAGCTGTTGTTGTTTGCCCAAAGGATGAAGACTATAAGCAGAGAACACAGAAGAAAGCAGAAGTAGAGGGCAAAGACCTACCAGAACATGCAGTTCTCAAAATGAAAGGCATGGAATTTTATTCTCTTGTCACAGTAAATCTCTTTCTGTGATTTATATCTGTAAACTTAGTTTCTTCTAGAAATACTGTTCCTGGAGTTACATTAACTCTTTGTAAATGAGTATGTTTGGCTTATTTCTACTTTTAGGAAAATGTGTTAGTAAACCAGGAAGTTATTGTAGTGTGTGTTGAACTTTAAGCCATTCAAGAATTGGAGATTTACGGATTGTGGGATTGTGAATGTGTGTTAATCTGACTTTATTCCTTGTAGGAAACTTTACACTGCCAGAGGTAGCTGAGTGCTTTGATGAGATAACCTATGTGGAACTTCAGAAGGAGGAGGCCCAAAAACTTTTGAAGCAATATAAGGAAGAGAGCAAAAAGGCTCTTCACCCCGAAAAGAAACAGAAGAGCAATAAAAATAAGAGTGGCAAGAACCAGTTTAACAGAGGTGGTGGCCACAGAGGACGTGGCGGATTCAATATGCGTGGTGGAAATTTCAGAGGAGGAGGCAAGTGAACATTCAGTATTCTCTTTATTTGATTGGAAATTGAAACAAGTGAAAATCTTCTAATTTGGGTCTACATGTTATTTAGCTGAATTTAACATAAGAAATTTGATCCTCATTGATCATAGCTCCTCTAGTTTAAAGTTCTGATGTGATTTGGTAGGATACACACCTAGGTTATGTCAGTGGTTAAACATTACCTTCACCTTTAAACATTTATTTTTCCCCAGAAGAACACTAAGTCATATGTGTAAAGGAGGCGCAACACACTAATCTAAAATACCTCTTGTTTTTTAGCTCCTGGGAATCGTGGTGGATATAATAGGAGGGGCAACATGCCACAGAGAGGTGGTGGCGGAGGCGGAAGTGGTGGAATTGGCTATCCATACCCACGTGGCCCTGTTTTTAGCAGCCGAGGTGGCTATTCAAACAGAGGAGGGAACTACAACAGAGGTGGAATGCCCAACAGAGGGAACTACAACCAGGTAATGATTTATGATCCTGATGCCCTGATCCCTAATTATCTGTATAAATTAGTCTAAAAAGAGTAAGCTTGTGTTGCATAGCCTCTGTAAGAGTTGTGGGAACCCAGTGTAAATGCATTGACATAAGGAAAATTAGTGACGGCAGTAAGATGAGTCCACTTAATTAAATTTGATTTTCAGGTACACTAATTAGCAACTATCCCATTTCTGTGCTGTGCTCCCTCTGCTTCCCATGTACAAACCTAAGAAGTGGTTGTGCTCTGAGTTCTTAAAGGTTTTTCTTTCTTTTTCTTCCATTTTAGAACTTCAGAGGACGAGGAAACAATCGAGGCTATAAAAATCAATCTCAGGGCTACAACCAGTGGCAGCAGGGTGTAAGTAATTTCTTATGTGCTTAGTACATTAAGTTGTATTTTTTCATAAGAATCATTCTTCAAAAAGATCTTATCCAGGGATTGAAGTGTTTGTAAGTGTTACAGGGCAAGGAGTGAATTGTGTTGCAGTCATAGCCATAATCTTATCTTTTGAAGGTAAAATAGGTTGATGTTTGATGTAACTTAATATTTTTTTAATTAGTAGTATTTAATGTATATGGTTCTTTTTTACTACTAGCTTTAATTGTATAAACTAACCAAGTCCTGATGTGTTTCCTTTTGTAATGTGTTTATTGATGATGATAATGGGATATTAATACTAACTGAATGTGGTTTGATAGAAATCAGAGGTATGACAGGTATAAATTTGTTTCCAGCAATTACTCTGAATTAGATTCATTGTCATTTCCTAAAAGCAGTTTGAGTGGCTTATTGATGTTTTTTCTTTAAAAAAAAATTTTCTCTTACAGCAATTCTGGGGTCAGAAGCCATGGAGTCAGCATTATCACCAAGGATATTATTGAATACCCAAATAAAACGAACTGATACATATTTCTCCAAAACCTTCACAAGAAGTCGACTGTTTTCTTTAGTAGGCTAACTTTTTAAACATTCCACAAGAGGAAGTGCCTGCGGGTTCCTTTTTTAGAAGCTTTGTGGGTTGATTTTTTTTCTTTTCTTTTTTGTACATTTTTAATTGCAGTTTTAAAGTGAATCGTAAGAGAACCTCAGCATTGTGCACGATAAGAGAATGTGTCAGTATTTCAGGGTTCTACATTTTATCTGTAAAATGTGACTTTTTTTTTATCACAACAAAAGTAAAATGTTGCTTTGTACCTGGTGTCTTTTATTAAGAATTTACTCCCCCCATTTCTCAGAGATAACAGTCGGGAGTCATTGTCACAATATAATAGAAATGTTAGCAACCAGATTCATGGAAGGGCCAAGTGGTCCTCATGAATTGCATAAGACTCTGTACTGCTCATATTACACTCCATCCTCTCTGTAGTTTGCTGAGTAGTGGAGGGGGTATGCTAAACAGTAGTTTCTGGCAATAACTGGGAAGGCTTTTTCTTTTTAAACAACATTGGAATTGGCATAATTGAATGAAGATACAACTTGGAACCAAGATAGAGAAGATGGAGTGTATGTAGAAGGGCTGTTAAAAATGTAAAACTTGGTTGTATTATTTGTGGAGGCTCAAACTTGTGAAGGTTAAATACCATAATTTTCCATTTGTTCTGCATTTTGATTCTGAAAAGAAAGCTGGCTTTGCCCATTTCTTATTAAAAAAACTTGTTGTAAATCCAGTTGTCTAATGGGATCTATATGAAGTTAGCTATGTCTGTATGCCCTTCTCCCACAAAATACTGTATAACTAGTGTGCTTGTAGTAGTTAACTCCACCATCTTTGTAAGCTAATGCAATTGTGAGTCACCCATTTATATCTTAATTTTTAATCATGTCAGTTCTTGAATGGGTATCTCCTTAGCCTGCTGATTTCTTTTTTCTTTCTAAAGAAAGTGGGTGGAGAAATTAATTTAGACGTTTGTTTGCAATAAAAAGAATTCATTTTACTCTCGTTTTGGGATTCTCGCCATCAAGGTTCAAAATCCCTTTTTAAAACTCCCAAGAGGAGAAAACCTAAGTGCGTGCTCTCTGGACAGCTTATTCTTTACTCTGTACTTGGAACATTTAGGTTTTAAAAACTTAAATGTATATTGACAATTGATCTGAATTGTGAAGTAAAGTTGAATTCCCTTCCCCTCCCCCATAGATGACTTAACATTAAATGAGGGGAAAAGGTAATGGCTGGGAGAAGTTAACACTCAGTTTATCATCTTACAAAATGCTAATGGCTGTCCTCAACTGATATTTTATATACATATGTAATACATGAAACTCTGGGAACAGATGCTTTTAGAAGCCATCATGCAAGCCAGTCATTGATTTCACTACTACACAACACTGCTAACTTAACTGTAGCTATGTGATAACAGTAGATCCCCTAACTGTAATTTTATTGGGTTTGCACAGAACACTTAATCTTCTAAAGGACCCTCACTAATGTGAAGTGAGGAATCAGGAGTCAAACTGTAGAACTAAAGCTTCAGTCTAGTGTTTTGTTGGTATTTTAGGTTGCTTCTGGTAAGTTTAGGTTTGTCTATATTTGATTGCTTAGATTTGTTTTAGCTGCTTCAAATCAGATTTTTAACTTAAACTACTAGGATTTTTTTTTTCTACAAGCTGAGCTGGAGTTGAGTTTTAGATGTTGGTGTAGGTAGCTTCAGCTGATAAATTTGTGGAACAGGGCTAATGTTACAATCACCATAAGAATACTTAACAAGCACAAGGTAGCGTCTCAAGGGCTTTTGTCTTTTCAGCAATTAGCTGCTGCTGGCAGTCACTAGCATGAGCTACTTTGCAGTACATATTATTACTAGGATTGCATAGACTTAATTTAAACCAAGGAGGCAAAATTCAAACTTTGTTGCTAATCAGTGTTTAGGTACTCTAAATATCTAGGTGCCTTTAAAAAATCTTAAATATACCTTATAGTTAAATATTGCTTACTAAGAATTCCATATACTAATAATTGCAGTGGAAGAGTAATGGCCAAATGACAGACACTATTTGATAGACTTAAGGAGCCTCAAGATCAGAATTAATAGTAATGTCTATGGTTATATTAAAAGAAATAATCTTAGAAAGTACATAAAAAATTCAGAACAGGGAGAGCACTAAATAGCAAGCAAAAGGGAGGAAAATGCCAAGTTTAGCAGAGTAAGATCTGTGAGTGAGAAACTTGGCTTATTCACTCCTCCCCTTCCCTACCTCTCCTGGCGAGCAAAACAAAAACGAGGTACAGCACTGAACAAATGTCCCAGCTATGCCTAGGGAACACTCACCTGTGAGATCGCTATTGGGGTGCTTTTCACTAGAAAGTTACGCAGATGCTGAGTCAAGAGTTGGATCAGATGGATCAACTACCGTAGTATTAAAACCATTAACATAAAGAGGTTAATCAAGAGAAAATGCAAGATAGAAAAGAAGTAATGTGAACTGACATGCCTTAGTTGTCTGTTGCTGGTAGGTTACATCTTGTTACAGGATCTAGCCTTTGATGGAGGCTCTGACTCTGACCTAGGAGGCTGAGACCAGCTTCTGACAGACAGAAAGGTGAACTCAAGATGGCAGTAAGAAGCCATAATAAACGCACAAAACAATAAGCTCTCATTTGCCTACGGTACATCCTGTCTGAAAATGAGAAATATGAAACTAGAGGTCCTAAGCACTAGCAACAAGGTATTTAAAGCATCTTTTAAAGACATTTTTCTTAGAAAAAGTACTTAAAAGTTTTCCAGGAGAGGTAATAGTATGTTCACCTACCTGGGAGCTTACATTCATGAACAGTCTATTCTGTATTTAATATTTGCCTCAGTTGTGGGAATTAAATGTAAATTAGCTTTTAATCCTAGGATCATTTTTATAATAGGTCCCATTGCACAAATGAAAAAGATGAAATATTTTAGCAGTTTTTAGGTAGTGACATCTCATAAAGGTCTGATGGTCAGTTTACAGGAGTACATTTGATGTTTGTAAAAAGCCAAACCAGATCCAGATTATGCTAAAGTATACATTTCCATCCTTTAAAGTTAGTTTCTCATGCACATCTTAAAAACAACATAAATTTCCATAATTTCCTTCACATAACTATAGAATGTCTCTGAAAAAAATGGATGGAACTTCTCTACTGTCCAACCCTCCAGAATAGTCCTGAAATATTCTGGGAAGATGAACACGATATTCTCAAGCCATTTTATCCCTAAAATTCTTGAAATGCTTTGAGTCTGACTCGTTATTTCTGGGGCTTTGAGGAAAACTGGGTTTAAGTTTTAACATTTTAGTAAATAGTTAAGAGTACGTTATGGCCTGGCGATCCATTAAGTTTTAAGGGGCTGTTAGTGCTTTGAGTAAGAATCCATCAATGCCTCGGCTCTAAACAGCAATTTGCATTTATTATGTAAACCAGAGTCTCTTCAAATCATTAATTGCTACATTTAATCTAAAAATAAAACTGAATACCCTTTTGATATGGAGAAGAGCCTTTTCCTTTGGGTAATTTTTAAAATTGAATTTTCTTACTGGCCCAGTCATTACTCCATTTCCACATTAAAACATGCAGATGGTAGGGTTAGCCAGTTGAGCATTTGAGATTTTTCTTTTTAGGTTAATACTGTTACAACAGGTACATGAAAACCTTTAGGTAGGTGGGAATGGTTAACAAAGATTACTATGCACTTACACTAAAGATATACTCTCACCTATCCAATTGACTACAAATATAGGTGGTTGGATATGTTTAATTTGCCCAAGGAACTATAAGGGTTAGTATATTGGAGATAGGGGAGAAATGTTAACCTATAATTTACTCAAAGAATGTAAATACCTTGTGTGATTAAGTTGGAAAGTGCTGTCCATGTGGAAAGCCAAATTCAGTTTTTTCAGCATTGTGTAGATCGGTGATTTTAGGTGATTGCAGATCCAGCATTAGGGGAACGAATGGTGCAAGTAACTGATAGGCCAGAACACCCGTAATCACTGCTTGGTTAGGTTGCACAAGGAACTTGACCATGTGTTTAATCTGTAATTAACTAGTTATTACTTAGGAATATTATTGTTTTCCTCCCTTTTCATGCCAGGAGTCACCGTTAACTTGCAACTTGACAAGGAACAGGGGTTTTACTTTTGACAAAGCTGGATCTGTGGTATGAGTAACTATACTCTAGTCAAGCAGTGAGGTAATGACATTCGAGACAAATGGAGAAATGCAAGAAGGTTCCGCTCCTTATTGTGGCTGTGGCACAGCAGTTACTCCTGAGTGTCCAGCTCAAGTGCCTGCAAACTGGAGGAATGCAGGGATTATAGGCTAGAGAGGCTGACATAGCATCCAGCTGATACACACAGCTATTTGTGGCATGTTCTTTCCTGCCGGTCCTTTTAACAGTCCGCGATCGCCCAGGAGGTAAAATTAGTTTTGTCCAGTAAACTTATGCTTGCCAAGCACTTGAGAAGCATTGCCACAAATTACTACCAGCCAGAAAATTTTTAGGTAAAAACAGTATAGACATCTAACTTGAGTGGCACAGCTTTAAAATGTTAAGGCATCTAGAGAGGAGATGAGATAAAACCAATACTTCAGATTGATTGGGGCTTATGTAAGTGGCAACTAACAGGTTAATTTTTTAAGGTAGCTATTAAGGTGTTTCATAACAGTTAAGGGAGATAGAGGAGTCCTGGTCAAGTACAATATAAAAGGTTCCAACTTCACTATTTTTTTCTTTTAAGTAAAACAAATGTGCTGATTTAAATTTCATCTCCTTTTCCTTAGTCTGTCCATGTGAATGTGCTGTGTGGAAGAGTAAAAGGGCCCAACTAAATCTGTTCCAGTGATTCCAATAGGTATTCCAAATTAATTGCTGCTTGTACATTTAACACTTGTTACATTGAGTTTCTAGGATCACCTTAGTTAAAATTGCCCTTATTTTAAAAAGATGGGGAGAAAGGAGAAACTTGGTAAGCAGACGGGTAGGTTTTATAACAGAAAAAAAAAGCTCGATTTCTCCTTCGCATACCTGAAGTGGGCAGTCCTCTTGCATAGATATTTGCAGTATATGTAAATAGAGCCCAGTCCTCTTAAGGTTAGAACCTTATTCTAATTGTTTGAATTCATTCTGTTTAACTTTTTGCAAGACATTTGTTATAATGTCCTCCATACTGGTAGACTTTAAATGTAGTACTCTGATGCAAAAAAAAAAGAATACCTGTGTTCTTAGTCTCCCCAAAACTTCCTGCATCTATACTAAATGCATAAGTACAACAATCTAAAACAATGATTGATTGAGATCCTTTTGGATAATGAAGTGATATTCTAGGAAGTAAATTTAAGTTATAAAGAAGGAATAAGGCCCAGGGAGCTTTGCCAGTCCAGAGTATGTAATGTCTCTTCCCTGATGTGTTTAAAGCTTGATAAGGAGCTTGGAGGACATTTTTCCTGCTGCGGATTCCAGAATACTGTATTTTGGTGAAATGAGTGGACTTGGGTGCTATACTGATTTGAAATGTAGCTCCGGGTTTGCTCAATGAAACAGAGTTCTAGTCTGTCAACTAAAAACGCTAATGGCTTCTGAAGATCCCATAGCTCAGCTTAAAGTGAGCAGTATTGCTCAGTGTCACTGATCGCTTTCTCACAATGGAAATACTTGGGGAGAAAGTCATCATTCTAGGAAATGAAGAGGAAGGCAAAGGCAGTGATTGAAAAGACATATTTACAGCATATTTGTAGTGCTCATGTTTCAAACTTGAAAATGTAATACTTTGAGAAATGCCTTCATAAGCTTTTTGTCCCTAAAGCTTCCCTTTTAAGAGAAAATTTAGAGATGGAACTTAATGCACAAAGTAATGTGTATTTGGGTGGTAAAGGATATTGGTATATTACACTGACCTGATTTGATGACCACTGGACAATATTTTAAGATGCTTCCAAACATCCTTTATTCTGGAGGACCATTAAAATCAATTATAGCAATCGTTTTAATTTTTCTACTTTCCTCATTAAGGTTTTCTGCTTACCCAAAGCATAGTGTATATATTAACATGACTTTTAAAGGGGTGCCTTGACCCCCATCTGCAACAGACTTTTATCTAGGAATAGAAGGATTCAAACCCTATTTGATCCCTAGCTCTGTGCTGAAAAGTGCATAAACAGGAATCCTGAATTTATTATATAGACCTCCTCGCATTATATAATCGAAGCAAAGGGAAACCAGCGATGGAGTAGAGGTACGTAGACTAAAGAGATGCTTGCAAATCAAATAATGGAACTAGGGATAGTCAAAAATTCTTGTTGCCTAACTTGGTCAATATCCATTACAAGTCCAGAGAGAAGCTTGAAGTTAATTTTAATTCCCTGAGGTCCTTTTATTAAAATGTAAAATCAAGTAGTCAAAGCAAAGGGGAGGGGCGAGGGAAGGGGGAAATGCATAAAGCACTGGAAAGTTAAAGTAGGTATGAGAGATAAGCCACGAGAAGTTGTGAAAACTACTAATGACCACAATTCTATTTTAATCAGCTATTTAGCTGGTACCTACTGCTATGTCACCTAGTGTGAAATTTCGGCTTTGCTGGAACACTGAAGACGCAGTGCAGCTGGAGGCTCCAGGTGAGCGTGGGAGGTAGGTTACTCTTTCAGACTAAAATCTGAAGTGTGTGCATGGATGAGAAGGGAACCTAGTTCCTGTCCATTTGCTAGTGGATATTTAGTAATTGTGTTGACTGTCTTGTGACACTTGGTTGGAATGTGAAGATATAAACATTGTCAGGGTTCTTGACAAGACAGTTAGGCTCAACTTGTAGCACAAGTCAATGGAAGTCCCACCTACTGTAACAGATGAAACGGGTATGAGAACCTAAATGAGGTGACCCTAATCCCCAGAGGTTAGTGACCAGGCGGATGAAAAATGTTACAGAGTTACAGAGAGGAAGTAGAAGATACTTGCAGTGAAGTTAAAAAGTTTGAGGAGTATGAGTTCAGGTCATGGTGGCCCAAGGTGCACTGAAGATAAAGGTGATTGGACCGGAAGTGGGAGGGCAGAGTGGAAATGGACTGGAAAGGCTACACGTGTGTCAAGATCGACAATGGAGGCCTTATCAAATGTGTCCAGGGCAATGTGATAAAGGGCCTGGAGTCTTAGACATCGTCTACTAATTCAGTAATACATCTCCTAACATCTTACTAAAGAAAAAAATACATACATTACTGATCATGTGAACGTATGAGTGACATCTCCCTGTTTTTATCCAGGTCTCCAATTTATAAAGCATCCTGCTGTGAAAATGAAAACTAACCTTGTTGGTGAGGGTCCTGGAATTTTCACCAGCCGAGAGAGGCTTCTCTCTCACCCGGGGTAAGATGTAACCATAGTATGCTAGAGCTAGAAGAGGCCTTAGTTATTTAATCCAGTTGCCTCATTTTATGTGTTACATATATTTGTAAACTGAAGCTAAGGACACAAGTGGCCTGCACAGATAACTTGTTAAATATCAGCTCTGATGAGTACTCATCATTTTTTCCCCAACTCGTGCAGCCTCTCAAATGAGTGTCACATCATGGCTTTTTAAAAACAAATTTGGTTGTTGTAATATGAATATTTCTAATACCCTTCCCTAATCAATGCCCAAGTCCTTCCTTTGGTGGCTGTCAAGATGATTAGGATCAATAAACATTAGGACAGGTGTGTGACAATGTCATTCACTAGTCTAGCCGTTATGGTATTTGGTAAACCACATAACCTAGGCACCCAACCCTCATAGTAACAGCCACAAATTTATAATTTCCTAACCAGGAAGACCTCTAGCATGTATTTTATTTAACAGATTTTTTTAAATGTTGATTTTAAAACAAAAAAATAACAAAACTGCTTTGGAGAGAATTTTTTCCTGAATGAATAAATGCTGTGGGTTGAGTTGTACATTGGCTGCTTTAAAAATATATAAATATATACTTATATATTTACAATATATAGAGAGTGAGAGAGCAGAAGAATGAATTATAAATGTCTTTTTTGCATCCGTGCAATACTATGTAATCTGGCAGTTCTTTTTCCTTTGCATCAAACAAGTTTTGAAAATCTTTTGTGCATATTTAAATTTTACATAAAACTTAAAACCATGCATACTGCCAAAACAATATTTAGAACAGTTAAGCAGCAATCTTTACCTTCCATGTAAGACATGAAAGAATAGTGTCAAGCAATGGACACGTTTTTAAAATAATTTGCAAAGTGATCCAATCTATTAGCTTTAAGTTTTATACTACCATTGGTTTAAAGAAACGAGGACATGCCTGGCTAGTGTGGCTCAATGCTTGAGTGTGGAGCCATGAACCAGGAGGTCAGGGTTCAATTCCTGGTCAGGGCACATGCCAGGGTTGCAGGCTTGATCCCCAGTAGGGGGCGTGCACATCATCGTTTCTCCCTCTCTCTCTGGAATCAATAAAAATACATATTTTTTTAAAAAAGGAACCAAGAAGTATTAAAAAAGGAACCAAGAAGTATTCCCTCATTTTTTAACTGGATAGTAATACGATTGTTTTAAAGGCAAGTTTTAAAATGGACATCATTTACACTCACTACAAAGGAACTTTTTAAAGCTTGCTGAACACTAGGTTTATTTTGTGTGACAAGTCCACTATTAAGCTATGCTGGTAGTAGATAACAAGGCCAGAATAAGTTCATAAAATATTCCTACAAGTGGAAAAAAGACTACAACTCACACATGCTTTATTTACTTGATTGAAAACCTTATGGCACATGCAATGTTTTACATAGTTGATCTCATCTTGGTTCACACTGACATCAGTTGTATTTGGGTTCTATGCTCGAGACTGTTCAGGTGCTGCTGCTGTTGGTTTTTTTTTCAGGATCAAGGTGGGTACTTTCATATAAAATCTTATTTTTAATTCCTTCTCTGGCCATTCTTTCCTGGATTCTTAGCTTTGCATAATTATACCTACAATGGAACCTTGGAAGAAAAGAATACAAAGTCATTAATATAATGGAAACATTTGACATTTTACAGTAATAAAATTCAGGAATGCTTACAGATGAGTACCCTGAGACTGAGAGTATAACCATTCTAATCTGCAGACCTCTTTTTGGTGGTTTGGTGTCGGCGATACCTATGAACACTTTTATATAAAGTGAGGATTTCTGTCACTTTAGCTTAATTTTACTTGTAGAACCTCAAGCAAATGGAACCAGTAATGTGGGTCTGGCTTTTTTTGCTGACGAAAACAGCTGATAGTCATCCATGCTATATCAGTTCTCAGTAACATCAGATGTGATGCTGGGAGCAGGGATGAAATGGGAATTAGGGTGTAAGGTACAGGGTGGAGGCCTTCATAAATGAAGTATAAGCCATAACTTGGCATTAATGGCATATTATGCAGTCATCTGCTCATTCGAGAAATGGTATAAAATATGAGTACATATACATACTGAAAGGATTAAGACATTCCAGCAATATCATTTAAGAAATTTCCATTAAAAAGTCCTTTTCTTAAAAATAAAAATCCTTTCTAAGTAACTGAGGGTGGAAATCTCCCAATGGGAAATTGCTCTGAAAAAAGCATGTGCATTGGAATTGGATAAACCTATAATCATGGGGTCCTCTTGAATGCTTAGTGCACATACCAGCATCCTAAAGTCACGAGGATAAATCCTCCTACTCCAACATCACATGATCTTCTAATTCTACCTGTCAAAAAGCACAGCCATTATAATTATTGTGACATACTGTTTCATCTAGAAAATAATTGTTTGCCACACATAGATGTGTGTTGTTTACTTAGAGAAAAGTAGATACTCACTAGTTAACAAAAAATGTCCAAGGCCAGCCACAACAGATCCTAATGAACCATATAATACTGAGTCCCGTGCACAGGGAATGTTCTCCACATCTAAAATTCCTAGGAGCTTAAAGGGCTAAGATAAAATAAAAAAGAACCTAGATTGAACAAGGAAATACTGTAGATCACAGTGGTTTGGCAAAGAACATGAACAGGAATCATCCATTTTTACTTTCAACGTCCTGCTTTGGTATTCAGTCTGAAGAAGCTGAATCTTAAAGTGGGAAACCTTGAAAATTTAATTAATGAGGAAGCCTCTAGAATAACATACCTAAATCAATTGAATTTTGACGTTAGATAATAATTTGCTAATTGAACAGTTTGGAAATAAGAGCACATTTTATGAACTCTTTAAACATCTGTATGAAATTTGGGAAGCAAAAGTGGGATTGGTACAATTCTAATGAGGTGAACATCAATTGTTTCCAAGAATAAATATTTAATGTAAAGATAAACATTGGGCATTATAACTCCTGATCTGTTTCCTTGCCTGGTAGGAAATTGCACTTAATTATATTTATCTTGTGGCCCTCAATGGAGGGCAGGACAAAATATTCAAGAAAAAAGTCACGTCTATTTCATTGTGGCATTTCTATTCAATAAAAAAGTAGAAAACTTATGCAGGTTTTCAGTAATGTAGCTTTTAAAAGCTGCTTGTCCATTAAATGACAGTATAGTGTATAGCGGGAGGCCAAAGGGGGCCGAGGGTTCCTCCAGGACGAGGGAATATAAGGGAAAGACAGATCGCAAGAAGGAAGTCAGGTTAAAGGTTGAAATAACATTCTTGGTTGTATTTTCCTCCTGTTTGCTGCTTTGGCTCAAGCTTCTGCCAGGAAAGACAAAATGTGTGACCTGGTTCATAATAAAGCAAAAATTACATACCCTCTGGGATCATTCTATTCCATTTTTCCTTTGGTCTCTCCCTGCTAACCCTTCCCCCCCTAACACAGGTTACTTCATGCACACAGCAGGTATTCATTAATATTGCACTTTAATTTTGAAAGTTCTTTAATACAAATCTTAATAGACATATTTGAATTGTGCTTCTAGGTTTTTCATTTCACTTAACAAATTCAGTTCCTCTGTCAGCTCAAAAGCCCAGTGGAACATGTGGTTGGAGGTGAGGGTGCGAGTTGCTCTGCAGGTAGGGAGTGTTGGGCTCTGCATGCCACCTCCAACCCAGCCTCTCTCTCCCCAGGGGAAGGGTGCTTAAGATGCTAGGGCTCCAGCGGGTGGTCAGTAGTGTCAGCTCTAATAGGTCCTAGGCGCTAACAGGTAGAAGGTGAGGCTTTCATGTTTGGGCCGAGAAGGAAAGGCCATCATGGGTTGTCCACACAGCAGGACAAGCAGGACACACCACCACCAAACATCACACAAGTTTCTGTAAGGCCTCTGGGCTTCTTCAGTCTGGATCCCCTTTTATAATGGAGCCATGGGGTGACACCCTCCTCATCCCCCAGGGTAGACCAGAATCTGCAGACAAACATTTCCTGGGGCACTTGGAAAAATGCCATCCACCCCAATCCATTGCAAGTATATGAAGTATACTTGCCAAATATCAAATTGTTATTTAAGCCAGCTAGGTAACTATCCGGATTTTTAAAAAGGTATTTTCAAAATTCAGATCTGGGATAGGCCATTAGAATGTTTAGAAGATTGCAGGTCTCTTTAAAGACAAACATCTTCCAGAAATTACATACCCTATTTAAAATGGTCCCTTCTAGAACCAGCACGTGGCTAGAGGCCCAGGATTCTGCTGCTAAACATTCTACATGTCAGCCCCACCTCCGACTCAACCTGTTGTGATGCCAGTACTGCCAAGGCTGAGAAACCAACGCAGGCCCAGAACAGTTCCAATATAGAGCTGATGGGGGGGTACCAGTCCCTGCCCTTGACAGCCCTTATGTGTTGTTCTCACGACCTCTGAGATCTCTGAACCGGCTCTGGGTCTACACAGAGGGCTGTTAGGTGCTGGCAGGATGGAAGTCGGCCTGGAACTATCCCCGCCCCCCAAAAGAGCCCGTCGTTTCCATTGCATCCTTTAACCTTCTGGGTCTGTTCTAGAGGGAAAAAACAAGGCCCACAGAGGATTCGTTTTCCAAAGGTCACCCATTGAGGGAATACTAGGACTAAAATACATAATTGTGTATCTGCAACTTTTCTCAAAACTGGGAAAGAATGAACAAAATTTAAGATAAGAACCATTGATTGGCTGCCTCCTGGTTTGATTCTGATCAAGGGCATAGGCCCAGGTTGTGGGCTGAGCCCCCAGTTGGGGATGTGCGGGAGGCAGCCAATTGGTGATTCTCATTGATGTTTCTCTCTCCCTCCTCGGAAATCAATAAAAATGTAGTTGGAAAAAAAAACATGCCCATATCTGACTAGTCAGGAGCACTGATCTCTTTTCCATTAGATTGTCCAATTTTAAAATGACAACAGCAAACAATAGCCATCTGGTGTGAATGAATCACAATTATACCTAATTGTTTTTTGTCAGCAAAAACTGCATTTTTGGAGTGCCACAATTTTAATAATAATGTGTGCCGTAGATGAAAAAAAAGATTGAAAATTGCTGGTTCAGAATATTGATTACTGTTAATTTCCAGAAGCAAGTAAGAACTAGTCTTCAGCATATGAATTGTAAGATTCTCAGAAATGGAAATTAACATTTCACTATTCCCTAATTAGTCTTCAGTTTAACTTGTCATTAATGAATTTAAGCCCTTAAACTAAGGAATTTTTCTAATAGTATTTTGTAGGCATATTCTTAGATTTAAAAAAGCAACATTACCAGCTCACCTTGATTGAACCAAGGGAAGTTCAAGATTTCTAAGCCAGAATACCAGTTTAATAATTTATAGGAAATAGATCAGATCAAATTAAGCCAGCTCATTACCCATTGCCAGTATTGTTTTCCTCGTTACAAAGGATGAACTGGCCAACCAACTGAGCCACAGCAGCCACAGCCCAAATTTCATATTTTAAAACTTCTCAAGCAAAGAATGAGAGCAGAAGAAAAGTTAAGGGCTAGTTCTATCAGGTATGCTAGCTTGTTTCCTCTCTCTCTTTTTTAATCCTCACCCCAAGATATTTCCCCTTTGATCTTTTAGAGAGAGTGGAAGAGAGGGAGACGGAAACATTGGTTGCCTCCTGCCCCGCTCCGCTCCGGGCCTGGGCTGGGGAGGTACATGCCCTTGACCAGAACTGAACTCTTTGGTCTGCAGGCCAGTGCTCTTCGCACTGAGCCAAACCGGCCAGGGCCCTTTCTCATTTTTATCTTAGCCGACTCTAAAAACCAATCTCTGGATTGTGGTAGAAATAATTGAAAAAAAAATTTTTTTAAGTGCAGGCTTTTCTGATATTACCCTGGGCTGCTAATTCAGACATAGCTTATATTAATTTTATTATACTTTTTGATGAGCTTTGATAGGTACGAGTGTTTCATGAACAACTCACAGGACTTAGAGTATTTTGTTAATGCTGGACCAATTAAATAGGTCATTAATATTTTCTTCCATTGAATTCTTTTATCAATTCTCAGTGAATTAAAACACCCTGATGACCATTACATGACAGCGGTTCTCCTATCAAAGTGAACAATCCGATACAGAAGGGATTAAAGCTCCATTCAAGAGCCCAGTGTTCTCACAAAACAATACAGAATTCCATATTGGGATTCATTTGGCCTGCAGACCAAAGAGTTCAGTTCATTAAATATGGAAGTTTCAAACAAGGGTACATTTTGTTACACTAAACATTCCAAATAATATACAAGACATTAAAAACAAAAGGCACCACGAGTTGTATAAATTGACAAAATCTGTTATTAAATATGGAAAAATTTTATCCAACCTTTGTTCCTATTAACCTTCTGGTGATCGGCTGTCTTGGCCAAATATAGGTGGAAAAGTCCCCAGAGAAACAAGAACTTTGAAAAAGTGAGCAAAACGTCCAAGCTCGTCAGGCTATCCTAAAACTACAGATCAGGAGCAACTAGGATGCCCTGCGGGTCCTCCCCTGTGTGCATGACGGACCCACTGACACCCAGTGGACAGTAAAGGAGCCCAGGGAGTGACTTCCGGCGATGCGTGGTGCGGTGGCTGATGAGCTGGGGGACCCCCTCCGCAGCCTTGGGGAGCCCCGTTCAGCTCCAGAGCACACGGGGGAGGCAGCAGCCGGGAGGGCCGTCCGCGCGAGGGGGGCTGGGCCCGATCACAGGCCCGGGGGGAAGCAGCGCACCTGGCAATGACCGGAGACCTGCGATCACACCGGTGCTCCACGCGGTCGAGAGCCAGGTTAACGGGAAGTCCCGATCTCTCTCCTCGGGAGCTTTTAAACCCCCCCCCTTCCCCCCAAAGGCCTGTCCGCGATTCACAGCGGCCCGCCCTCCCGCTGTGTGGTCACCGGTCCCGGAATGAAGACAAAAATACCAGGGGAGCGGGGGGCACGAACAGATTCCACCCGGGCGGCAGGGGAGCCAACGACACGTGCTCGGCCTCGGGTGTCCCAGCTCCGAGGCCGCGTCCCTCGGAAGCGCCCGCCCGCGCCCCGCTCGCCCCCGCCCCCAGGTTACCTTCTGCCCGGGTTCCTTGAAAAACCGCGCCGCGGCCATGGGCACGAGTCGC